TGAGGGCAGGGCCAGGACCAGAAGTGGTGCTCCTGGAGCCCAAGAAAGGGACTGAGTTGCTCTGGGTGAGAAGGATCAGGAAACAGTATTGGTTCCCCAGGTGTCTGGGGCCCCGAGACTAGGAATGGCGCAGGGCCCAAACTAGGAGTATAGAACGGCGAGGCGGGGGATGGAAGGGTGAATGTCGCTTAGGGGGTCCCGGCGCAGAGAGCTGCGCTATAGAAAATTTATTTATTTTTATGTGTGTGTTTGCCTGCATGTATGTATGTGCACTATGTGCATGCCTGGTACCCATGGAGGCCAGAAGTACGGATCAAGCCCCTAGAACTGGAGTTACAGGCAGCTGTGTGCCACCATGTGGATGGTGAGAACTGGACTCAGGTCCTTTGCAAGGGCAGAGCGGTCCCGGCGCAGAGAGCTGCGCTATAGAAAATTTATTTATTTTTATGTGTGTGTTTGCCTGCATGTATGTATGTGCACTATGTGCATGCCTGGTACCCATGGAGGCCAGAAGTACGGATCAAGCCCCTAGAACTGGAGTTACAGGCAGCTGTGTGCCACCATGTGGATGGTGAGAACTGGACTCAGGTCCTTTGCAAGGGCAGACCCTTAATGGCTGAGCCATTTCTCCAGTCAGTCCCTGAATGACTTTCTAAAGACAAACTGAGAAAATGGATCTTTGTTCCAGATCGCCTAATTAATTAAAATACTACCAAAATAAAAATAATCTTTGAGGACTGTTCATTTTACTTGTCCTGTAACAAAAAGGAACAAAGAAGGAAGTTCTCTAGCTACTGGCCCACAGGCCAAATGGCACACTGTCACTTTACATGTTGTTGATACACTGGGCATACACTAGAGAAAGCAGCGATGATATTTTATGGAGTAGAAATTAGATACATCAAAGGTGTTTATGCATGAATTTGCCTATCACTTGTGACCTAGTTTTCCTCATTTGGGAAAAGGGAGTAAAATTTTCCTCTTAGGATTACTTCAAGAATTAAATGATACAACATAATCAAAATGTTATGAGTTCAATGAAAGTTACCTGTTTCATAGTATTTATGTGGGATTCAAGTAAATAGGCTCTGTAAGGTTTTAGGTCATACAGACTAGTGAGAAATGCACAGACTTTGGAGCCAAAAGCTCTGGAGTCCGCATTTCAACGTTTCGCTTGGTTTTCTATGCGCTCCTGGACAAGTCATTTGCCTTCAGCACTGCATATATGATGTGAAAATAAAACCTGCCCTAGGGATGCTTTGAGAATCATATATGATATGTCAAGTTCGTTCTAGCTATAACTTAATACATATACCTTATTCTTACTATAAAAAAATTCACTGCATTCAAAACAGCTTCTGGACTGGAGACACAGCTCAGTGGTAGAACACTTTCCTGCAATGCATATAACTTTCCTGGTATCACTAAATATTCTTAGATTTTTATCAACATCTGCTCATTAAAGATACAGATGTTACCGAACACATTTCCTTAAGAACAATGTTTCATGCCACTTTCTGAACCAAGTTTCTAAACTGATTTTAGTAGGGTGTTGCTTCTTAAAAAAAACAAAAAAATTAGTTACTGAGAGTTAGTTGGCTTGAGATCCTAATGAGGGAAATCTGGTTTTCTTATTAAACATTGAAGTTAAACTACTAATATCTCCTGGGAATAAAAATATATACATTAGAAAACATTACTTCTGAAAAGATCTGCTTGTGACCCAGCTAGAAGTTGCTGCAAACCACAAGTTAAGAACCATTACCTGAGGCTCAGGGAGGACAACTTCAGGCCCCAGAAGTAACGTGGCTCTTTGGCAAATCACTAGCATGGTCAGAAATCCCATCTCGCCTCTTTCCAATAAATTACCTTGCTGCAATGGATTTTTATCAGCAAAAATAGAAAATATAATAGGCACCTGATTTCTTCCAAATTGATTTCATGGACTTATTTCTTTTTCTTTTTTTTTTTTTTGGTCTTATTGAGACAGGGTCTCCCTGTAGCCCCAGCTGTCCTGGAACTCATTATGTAGACCAGGTTGGCCTTGAACTCAGAGATCTGCCTGCCTCTGCCTCCCGAGTGCTGGGATTAAAGGCATGCGCCACCATGCCCGGCCATGAACTAATTTCTATGGCTCTATTTTGAGTAGCTATTCTTACTGAATAGATGCGCAAAAAGATATGCAGAAGTAATTTCTTTAGGATTATTCAGAAGAATCAACACCAAAATTGTGGTTGTTTGAATGAGAATGTCCCACATAGGCTCCAAGTATTTGGACATTTTTTTCCCCAGCTGGTGGTGCTGTTTTGGGAGGCTTTAGGAGATGTGGCCACACCAGAGGAAGCAAGTCACTGGGGGTGGGCTTTGAGAGTTCTTAATGCCTTGCCAGATTTCTAGTCATGCTCTGTTTCCTGTGCCTGCTTGAAGATGTGAGCACTTAGCTTTCTGTTCCCACTCCGGCCACCTCCTGCCTGCCACCTTCTGCCAACCATGCCTCCCTGCCATGATGGACTCTAATTCCTCTGGAACCTGGAATTGTAAGCTCAAATAAACTATTCTTCCTATATATGTTTCCCTGGTCATGGTGTTTTATCACAGTAACAAAAAAGTAACTAATATAGAAGTTGGTACTATTATAAGTAACTATTACAGAGTGGGCTGTTGGCTGTGAAGAACATGACCATGTGGGTTTTTGAAGGGCTATGGAAGACTTTGGAAGTTTAAACTAGAAAAGCAGTTGATTGCTGTAAGCAGAGCTTAATGGGCCATTCTAGTAGGAACCTGGAAGAAAGGAGTGCTGAGAACAATAAGCAGCAACTGGGATATTCTGGCAGAGTCTGCCTGGAGTCTGCCCATAGCCTAGGAGCTTGCCTGGGGCTAAACTGAAAAGTAATGGACTAATTTCTTTGGTGGAGGAAATTTCAAGGCAGCCTAATTTGGAAATGATGGAATGGCTATTAATGGTGAATATTATGCAGATATAAAGTGAAAAAAGGCAAGCCAGTGAGTAGCATTCCTCCATGGTCTGTGCTCCAGGTTCCTGCCCTGCATTCCTGTCTTGGCCTCCCTTGATGATGGACAGTACTTGTAAGTCAAATAAACCCTTTCTTCCCCAAGTTAGTTTTGGCCAGTGTTTTTATCACAGCAATAGAAAGTAACTTGGGAAAAAAAAATCAAGATTAAAGAACAAATATTACTGACCTTGTTTCCTAGCCAAGTTCTGAGGCACAGGCTCAAGTGTCAAACAGAATTGGTATGAGTCTAGTTACCAAGTATGACCACAATGACCAAGAGGGTTCCTAGAGTAGACCAAGACCTACCAGTAAATAAATTTGTTTACCCACATCCCACCACTGCCTCTTTCCTGCAGCCCGCTGCTTTATTAGGACTACCACAGTGGCAACATTAGAGCCTAACCTTCTAATGATTCTAACAGTTCAAACTAACTCTCAATTCATAAGCATATACAGGATCCGGAGTATAGCTCAAAGGTACAGATCATGCTTAGCATGCACGAAGCCATGGGTTTGATCCCTAACACCAAAACACCACCAAAACAACAACAACAATGATGATGATGACAAAATCTCCAGAGGTCAATGTAAGAAGAGGGTCCTGAAATTCAACTCAGTGTTAAAAATTTATATAGGTCTGAACCATCGGGGCAAACATGCATTTAACTTGGACATTACCATTCTTTCTTTCCAAGATGAAATGGAGATATAAGAATGCAATTAGCATTACTCCCAAAATGAAACACAAGAAAATAGGTTATCTATAAATCTTACAAACATCTTTTGTAGCACAGTTAGGCACCAGTAAATCTGAATACAAGCTTGGCCACAGCTTTCTGTATGACCTTGGACGTATCATCCTCATTTGTAAAGTGGATAGTAATATGCAACATATTTAGAATTAAAAAGATGTATCTTCAACTCCTAGGACTCATAAGGCTCAATGGGATAAGGAGTAGGAAACATGAAACTGTTTGCCTGAAAATATTCTCTATATACAAATAACTAACTTTGTAGTCCAAAAAACACAAACTCATAAATATGAGCAATTATTACACTCTCACCTTTAAAAAGTATTTTTAATTGTTCTTTGACAATTTTATACATGCATACACTGTATCTTGATCATACACACCCTCAAATCCCCTTTCCTATTTTTAATGGCATAGAAATCACTGCAAGGTTCATATGCTTGTTTTCCAGTGATAGCCATCTTAGTTCCTTCTATCACAGTAAGCAAAAGTATAATAAGGAACATAGTCAAAGGACTTTAGCTTCCTGTCTTTTGACCACATGGTAGAATCGTATACATTCCAAGTCTTTATACATCATACTACTGATATGAGGGGTGTGTGTGTGTGCACGTGTATGAGCATTGGTGTGCCTGCCTACAGATGTGTGGGTGGGGGCCAGAGGTCGATGTTGCGTATTTTCTTCTATCACTCTTCACCTATTTGTTCAGACAGTCTTTCACTGAAGGGAAGGATGGCTCTAACAAATATAATGTTGAAAAAGCAAACACATATATGGTTCTATTTCTACAGAGCTTGTAACTAGCCAAACCATCTCTGCTAGCCTAAGTGAAGGTCATGGGTAATGTGGATGGTATCACGGTGAATGGAAGGGACTACATGACAGCTCCAGAAGAGTTTGAAGTCTTGGTAATGGTGCGTCTCTGCCCGAGATTCTACTTTACATGGGTGTTCACTCTGTGAAAATACACACCGCAACATGTATGGATTTTTCTTTTATTGTGTACATATTGACTTCAAAATACTTCTAAACACTTTCCAAATTAAAAAAAAAATCTATTGGCAAGTTTCTGCAAAGATATCTATTTAAGCCTATGGAAGAGAGGAACCCCACTGAACATGGGGGAGGGCTGGGGGGGGGAGCGGTGGGCTATGAGTGTGCCTCTGCTACTCACCTTTGTCCTGCAAAGCCATTTGTTGTTTATGCAGTAATGCCACCTCCTGGCCCAAAGCTTTCTTCTGTCTTTCCAGTTCATTTTGAAGCACCAAAATTTTTAGCTGCAGACATTCACTTTCTTTTTTCTAAGTAAGTTAAAAAAAAAAAAACACAGGTAAATTTATGATTATAGAAGTCATGGCTATGGGGGGCTGGAGAGATGGCTCAATGGTTAAGAACACTGGTTGTTCTTGCAGAAGACCCGGGTTCAAATTCCAGCACCCACATGGCAGCTAACTGTCCGTAACTCCAGTCCCAGGGGGTAACTTCAGTTCCAGGGGATCTGACAGCCTCTTCTGTCCTCCAGGGGCACTGCATGACATGGGTGCACTTCATACACATAAAATAAAAATAATAAAATATGGAAAAAAGAGTCATGGCTATGAATAATTGTGCATTCACAATGTCTCAAACCAATGATGGCTAAACACTTACCCAAGCCTACAGATCTCATGCATAGCTTTAATTACCAAGAGCTATCACTTTAAATGAACAGGATATAGAAATAAATAAAGGAGTAGAGGGCTGGAGAGATGGCTCAGCAGTTAAGAACATTGTTCTTGCAGAAGACCCAGGTTCGAAGCCCAGCACCCACATGGCAGCTAACAACTGTCTGTAACTCCAGTCCCAGGGGATCTGACAGCCTCTTCTGTCCTCCGCGGTCATTGTACAACATGGGTGTACTTAACTACATGCAGGGAATACATGCATACACATAAAATTGAAAAAAAAAAAAAGAACAGAGTAGAAATGAGTCTCAACTCTCTTACAGAGATGAGAAGCTGAGGGGACACTCACTGCATCAGGCCGAAAAAGCTCGGCCCAAGGAGACAAAGTAACACAAAATATCAGGAAGTTGAATCTAAAGATGTATAAGATGTATCACAGTCAAATCAATTTTATTTTAGGACTACAAGCTGGTTCAGCATTCAAAAAACAACACCCCTCATCACAATAGCAGACTAAGGAAGAAAAATCCTAGGATAATAACAGTATGTGTAAAAAAAAAAAAAAAGGTGTCAAAATACACTACTTATTTATGACATAAAACTATAAAACTTTCAGAGATGAAGAATAGTGGAAACTTCCTTAATTGGTAAATCATACCCATTCCAAATCTTAAATCATAATTAGTGGCAAGAAACTAGGTGCTCTCCCCTAAGTTCAAGAACAAGACAGAGATGTTCCCTTCACCACTCCTATTAACACAGGTGGATGTGCGGTCCTGGCTATAGCAGTTAAGACAAGAACTGGAAAGAAAGGCTATGCAGACGGAGAAGAGGAACACAACTGTGTTTACAGGGAGCATCAGCAGTCTATGCAGAAAATTCCAAAGAAACAAAAAGAACCTCTGGGAATGATAAACAGTCATTGCAAGGACCAGAGTTCAGCTCTTCAATGCCCTTGTAATACCAGGTGGGTGTGGCAGCCCACTTGTAACTCCAGTGCCCAGAAGAAAATGGATGGAACCAAGGACGGGAATCCCCTGAGCAAGCTTGCTGGTTAACCTAGCCACAGTGGTGAGTTCTGGGTTCAAATGAGAGACCCTGGCTCAATGAATAAAGTAGAGAGGATTGGATCAAGGAAGAATCCTGATGTCAACCTTGGGTCTCCACATACACGCACACACACAAACTTGAGTCCACATACATGAAAATGTACGTACATACCTGTATGCAAAGCACACACATACACACATGCAAAAAAGGACAAATTCCTTATTTTCCAAATACCTTATCTGAAATTGCCTCCATATACAGATCTGACATCCTGAGTGTATGATGAAGACGTGTGCCTGTATGCATGAACATGCCCTATGAATGTGTGCACACTTTCCTCCTGATCCTCAACACATGGTGTCAATAATAGTACTTTTTATTATTCTCCATGACATAAATATTGACCAAATAGTAATTTGGCTATACTTGGCAAATGTCGCCTTCCAAAATCAAGCAGCTAATTAAAACTGTAATAGAAAAAAAATCTACTAAATAAATTTAAAATTAACAAGACCTGGAACAAGCTGGTAGAAATTTTTAAAAGGAAGAAGTCAGTGCTTGATTTGATGTGCAGACACTAAGGAAACCCGGGAACTCAGTGAGCTGCATGGGACAGGGCCTGATGAAGCAATGGGCATGGAGAACGACTCCAGGCACTTGTGTTGAAAGCACTCTGCAGCAATCATTTCTCACCCAGAATGCTTTCTTCTTCATCCCTGAAATACTGATTCTAAACAGATGTTATGATAAGCCCCTACGACGTGCAAGCCAAGAAAAGAGCAGAAATCTTTACTTCCAACCATCATTATTACATTAGGCTTGAAGAATCTAGGAAATGGGCCTTTACAAATAATGCTCTTAAATAATTTTTCAGAACAATGTAAACATTGATAAGGAACGTATTACACAGTTTAGTCTAAAATGCCTTCTGCTTTCTATGAATTTAGGGATATAATGTGTCTGCCAAGTCACTGTAAAAACAAAGACCAAAAAATCCATGAAGTTCTAAAATGTGGAAGCATCCAAGTATCCATTGACAGATGAATGGAAAAGCAAAATGTGGTATACACATCTAGTGGAGTATTATTCTGATTTAATTTTTTTATTTATATTTTATGTGTATGCATGTTTTGTCCACATGTATGTAAGTGCATCACATGCATGCCATATCTTCAGAGGTCAGAAGAGGGTGTCAGATCTCCTGGAACTGGAGTTTCAGAGGTTGTTAGTTGCTGTGTGGGTGCTGGGAACCAAACCTGGGTCCTCTGCAAGAACAGCCAGTGATCTTAACCACTGAGCTAACTGTCCAGCCCAATTCACTTTAAAAGTAAGGAAATTCTGGTGTATGTAGTAACATGAAAAACTTTGAAGATATTATGCTAAGTGTAATGAATCAAACCCGGGTCTTTGTAAGAGCAGTCAATGCTCTTAATCACTGAGTCATCTCTCCAGCCCCAACATTTTCCCCACCCTCCAAAGATTTAGGTATTCAATTGCTTGAACTTGAATTTTTCCACAAATAAGTAAATGGAAGTTTACTTGGGCAGAGAAGGAAATAGAGAAAAACAAAGATATCTTCAGAAAGCACTGCCAGGCTAGTGGGGGTGACTTGCTCTATTCCAGGATGCACACTCAAACTGGGAGTACTTTTTAGTTTCAAAGCACTATACTTACATGTTAATCTAAATACTAAGCTAACACAAGAAGGCTTGAGTACAGTGTATTTGTGTTATGGTCCATGCGAGAAAACTGGCCCATTTACAGAAATATATCAATTTGCTCAAAACCAGGACTGTTGGCTCCCACTTCTGAAGAGTAAACAAACCCTGCCTATGTGGGTCTGGTTCTGCTTCCTTCTAATACCTCACAGACAAGCTGATCAAAGAGCTTAACTTTCTAGAAATGTCTTGTAGTGGGTTTCTATGTTCTATTTATCTGTTTACACCAAGTATAGTTAATATCACATACTGGTCTCCAACATATCTATCACTTCCATTTAGACTTGATGATACAACACTCAGAAAATCATGGGCATGCATCTGTTTGCAAGTACATACATTCCTATTTATGGGTCTTTACAAAAAAAATCATGGGTAATGTTAAACACTCATTTTACAATGACAGATTGATCTATAAATAGCATATTAATGCAAACAAATATTTTCTTGCAGAAAATATTTCCTCATTGGAGCTAAAAAAACCTTAGGGGTATGTTTTTAAAATATGGTCCCAGGGATAATGAAGGTTCCAAATACTCTCATAACAACACTAAGCCATTAGGCCCCCTTTCTCTGTCATTTCCTTCTAGGAATAGAGCATGTGAGAGTCTACTTTGATGTTGCATTGGATTTATTAAAGAACTAGATAAGAGAATTTAGAAGTCTTAAAATTTTTTTATCAATTTATTTATGTGTGTGTGCGCACGTGCGTGCCTGTCTGTGTCTGTGTATTTGTGCACATATGTAGGCACAAAGTCATAGCATATGTGCGGTGGTCAGAGGACAACTTGTGGGTGTCAGCTCTCTCCTTCCACCATGTGAGTCCTGAGGAATCAAACTCAGGTAGGCAGGCGTGGTGACATGCACTTTTACATAGTAAGCCTTGCTGTATATCTTGCTGGCCTTATTTAAATATCTTTTATTAAGCAAGAGATCAGTTTGATAGACGTTAGAGTCACAAAAACAAACAGTACAATTCAATTTTGTAGGGAAAAACACATTTTTCATTAAAGTCTATTGTTATGATAGATTTGTTATTGGCACTTTAAAATAAATTGGGAAAATAAATTTAAAATTTCTTAGATTTAGCAGGGCATGGTGGTGCACAACCGTGAGTTTGAGCCCAGTCTGACCTACATTACATAGCAAGTTCCAGACCAGCTGGGGCTACAGGAAGACCTTGTTTCAAACAAACAAACAAACAAACAAAAATTCTTAGATTTAATTTCTAGCATAATAAATATTAATGGTATGGCCTAAATTCTTAGAAACTGTCATAATTCAAAAAAATTGTCTTTTGTATTTATTTACTTCTACTTATGTGTAAGCGTATTCTGCCTGCATGTATCTAAGTGTACCCATTCATGCAATGCCTGTGGAGGCCAGAAGAGGATGCTGGATTCCCTGGAACTGGAGTTTTGGACAGCTGTTAGCTGTCATATGGGTGCTGGGAACCAAACCCAGGTCCTCCGCCAACAGTAGCCACTGCTCTTAACCACTGAGCCATCTCTCCAGGCCCAATTTTTTAACATCTTAAAGGGTCCTAAGACTAAAATGTTTGAGGAATTAGTGGTTTAGATCATATTTTATCTTATCTGTAATCATCACCCACAACTGGAAATACTATCTGAGAAAAAATTTTACAACTATGGAAGTTGTCCTGGAAGTCAGCAAATTGCTTCCAAATGTCATTTACGGGTTGTTTTTCTTCCATCTACGTTTAGTCAATCACTAAGAAAGAGAAAACCATTTCCTTAGAAAATATTTAATCCAATTTATTAATTTCATAGGCTTGGTCATAGTAGCAGGCCTAGTATAAGGGTTTGGATTCCAAATGAGAATAAACACCTGCCAAACTGGTCTTCCACT